AAAAGAAAAAAAAAATAATGTATCATATTATTTTCTGTATTTATATTGTGTATGTTAATTATTTTTCCCATTGAATACTTAGCAAAAAATAACCACGTTGTGATATATACCATTATCATGATATGAAATTTCTCCTACTCTGCATATAATTGTGGTCATAGCTTGTCTGCAGATCTTTCGGTCTGCGCTTTTCCCCACTCAGCACTTCCTCTGCACCTCATAACCCACCGGCACGGCAGAAATAAAGAGAGCGGCGTAAAGCGAGACAGAAAGAGCCACATTGTTATTCAGCGCGAGTCACTGCGGTGGAGCTATTGGTTGTCAGCAGCCGGGCGAGAAATGGGGCGTGTAGATTCGGCCAAAGAAACACAAAGCCATCTGGACAAAAGTGAACAGACATTTGTGCTGAATTAGAGACGGTAAAAGTGAGTGGGTCCAATATCATTGGTCTTAAAAGTGGGTGGGTCTTGTCCCACCCGCATACAATGGTATACATGATGGTTGTATACGTTAATTTATGCTATTATTTTTTTTATATATTATTATATTTTTACTGTATATTTATGTATGTATATGTATGCAACATTTGTTCGGCTGCTTTGAGGCAGTTGTTATGAATAATCCAATATATTGGTTGCTGTCCATCAAAGAGATTTAAAAAATCAAAAAAATATAATTGTAAAAAATTGTATCGTTATTTTACATATAAAGCGAGACAGAACGAGCCACATTGTTATTCAGCGCGAGTCACTGCAGTGGAGCTATTGGTTGCCAGCAGCCGGGCAAGAAATTGGGCGTGTAGATTCGGCCATGGAAACACAAAGCCATCTGGACCTGTACATCACACTGTAGGGAAGCAGACAAGGTGCGATGACATCACAATCACACACCTGACGCGCCGTTGACAGGTGACACGCCCACTGAGTGACTAGTTTACGGCTCACATGCACGGCCATGTGGATTGAAACCGGCATTAATCACGCGTTCGACAGGTCAGTTTCATTCATTAGACCGACCACCCACACACATTCTGTCCAGTACATGTTAACTAGCAGTTCCAGGCTGCGATATGCACATTTAGATGAATAATATATAAAATAAATCCCACAAAGACACACAGATGTTCATTTTAGTGTCCACAGACATGGACAGACAGACAGCTGGCTACAATGTCGGTCAAGATGACAGCAGAAGATCATTTGACTGAGGCTTTTTTCTGAGCCTCACAACCGATTTATTTGCATCTCATAGAATGTAGATATAATCCTAACAGGATGATGGTTGATTCCTGTGAACACTGAATACCTTTGTGCCGCATAAACCCTCTCTAATGTGATTTCTGAAATATAGCTGCATTATGAGACTCAGATTGAATTGAGAATGCCTTTTAACCCTATAAAGCCTGCTGTAGATTTGATACGCAAATGTATAAGGCCTCTAAATGATCAACATGATAAATGACCCATAATGATCCATATAAATACCAGCATCTGCACAAAATTGCATCATATTTTTGATCAGTTTGGGCCTCTGAATAAAAGATGTTTTTTTTTCATCCATATTCCCAGTGTATCGTAGCTGTAAAGCCTGATCTGTGTGTGTGTGTGTGTGTGTATGTATGTATATATATATATATATATATAAGGTTCAATAAACCAGATTTTTCTGACTAATATTTCATATGTCAGGCTTTACAGGGTTAAATTCCAGTTGAATTTTAGAATTTAAATTGAGACAGTAAACAGAATGCAGAATTTGAATGTAACAAACAGATTTAAAATGAAATTAAATTCCAAGAAATTCATATAACTGTCATTTTTAACTACTAAAGCAAAGTAAATGGGTAGGTAGGTAGGTAGGTAGGTAGGTAGGTAGGTAGGTAGGTAGGTAGGTAGGTAGGTAGGTAGGTAGGTAGGTAGGTAGGTAGGTAGGTAGGTAGGTAGGTAGGTAGGTAGGTAGGTAGGTAGGTAGGTAGGTAGGTAGGTAGGTAGGTAGGTAGGTAGGTAGGTAGGTAGGTAGGTAGGTAGGTAGGTAGGTAGGTAGGTAGGTAGGTAGGTAGGTAGATAGATAGATAGATAGATAGATAGATAGATAGATAGATGACCCCATGACCCTGTGTTTTTTTTTATTATCTAGATTTAGTGGGCATCCCTGTTTGATTTGTTTTCATCCAGCCATTCTAGGTGTTTCTAAAGCTGATTTTGTCATTTCGCTGATATTTTCCAGCTGCAGCGGAGCACAAATGCGTCTAGCCACATGGGAATGCGCTAAATACAAATAGTGTCTAGCACTGTCTACTTTACTAAGCATCTCAGCTCGAAGTGTGCGAGATGTTCCAGTCTCTTTACCTGTAAACCCTCTTTGTCAGGATAAGATGATGTTTTCCCCCGCCCCAGCGGATTGAAACGGGTGCTCAGACGGCCTGACGAAGATGTCATTGGGGAACAATATTTATTAGGCTAATGGAATGAGTGAATAACACTGTTGTAAACCCTAGCGTACGCTTGGTCGGTGGCGTCGCCAGCTGCAAATAATCCTCTTCAGTTCAGTAGCTGTGCTAATAATCCTCCGGAATAATCTTCAGTTAGAAAAGGTGCCGAATTTGTGGAATAAAGGTGTGTGGTTGCCTTTGTGTTTTCCATCTCTCCACTGGCTGAAGCCAGACAGAAACTACTAAGAAGTGGATTATTCTGGTTGACACTGAGGTTTTTGTGTGCCTTTTCTAACTGTTGTAGATGAAAATGGTTTCACAAGAAAGCAAGCGTGAATCTATAGAAGCTCATTTCCACCACGGGATGAGAAAATGTTACAAGATAATTGATCATTTCTTTACAAATAAAGAAGTCAGAATTGAGGGATATAAAATCACAGTTCTGAAAATAAAAGTCAGAATTGCGAGATATAACCTTGGAATTGTGAGATATAAACTCGTAATTCAGATTTTTTTTTTCTTGCAATTGCGAGTTTATATCTCACAATACTGACTTTTTCCCCACAATTGTGAGTTTACAGTATATCTTGCGATTCTGACTTTTTTCTCGCAGTTGCGAGTTTATTTACCCGAAATTCTGAATTTCTTCCCACGATTGTGAGTTCATATCCCACAATTCTGTATTTGTTCATGCAATTGTGAGTTTATATCTCGCAATTCTGACTTTTTTCTCACAGTTGCGTTTATATCTCACAATTCTTTATTTTTTTTCCCACAATTGTTTATATCTCGCAATTCTGACTTTTTTTCTCGCAGTTGCGAGTTTATATCTGACAATACTGACTTTTTTCCCACAATTGTGAGTTTACAGTATATCTTGCGATTCTGACTTTTTTCTCGCAGTTGCGAGTTTATTTACCCGAAATTATGAATTTCTTCCCACAATTGTGAGTTTACAGTATATCTTGCGATTCTGACTTTTTTCTCGCAGTTGCGAGTTTATTTACCCGAAATTATGAATTTCTTCCCACAATTGTGAGTTTATATCCCGCAATTCTGTATTTTTTCATGCAATTGCGAGTTTATGTCTGAGAATTCTACTTTTTCTCCCAATTGCTAATTTATATCTTGCAATTCTGACTTTTTTTCTTGCAATTGAGAGTTTAAGTTATACGTTTATTGTTAATTTATAAGTTTAAGCTTATTGAGTTATAAAGTCCAATTCTGAAGACAAGTCAGCTTAAAATGTTCTCTCACAATTGCATACTGTAAAGTCGAAATTGTGAGAAACAAATTCGCAATTCTGAGGAAAAAGTCAATCTTGCAATTCTGACTTTCTCGCAGTTGCGAGTTTATTTCTTGCAATTCTGACTTTGTAACTCACAACTGGAAGTTTATATCAGTCAGAATTGCAAGATGTAAACTTGCAATTGCAAGAAAAATAGTCAGAGTTGTGAGATAAAAAGTCACGGTTCCCTTTTTATTTTTTATTCTGTGGCAGAAACAAGCTTCCAGATGTATCTGTTCTCGCTGTCATTGTTGTACTAATAACAGCCACTTTCATCACACAGTGGCAAATCCAACTTTGTCCTTGTTACGAAAGATTTGTGTTGTTGTCAGTTTCGTCTCGCTAAAGGGAAAGAAGTGCCTTAGAGGTGCGAGACAGTCTTTTTGTAGTTCACAATGGCCAGTAAATAAAGCTCAGTGACGCATTACCCAACACACGTTCTGTGATGTATATCTGAGAGCGACACAGACTCATGTTTCTTATCAAAGCCTTTCAGTTTATTCCGCGGACCGTTTGTCACTCGCCTCCGCTCTTGTTAAATAAATAAATTTTATTCTGTTGAAATAAATTTTAATCAAGGTGAAGTATGTGGTTTCTGCTCCACTGGAAGCACCAAACAGAACTGCAAACATAGCTAGGAAAGGAAAGTTAATTGCATGAATTTGGGTTTGAAGTCTGAAGTTTATATAAGTGTAGCTTGAGGAGAGATGTGAAGTGTCAAGGTTATATAAGGCTTGTGCTGTTTGACAGCAGCCTTTATATAGGCTCTGCATTGATATGTGGTTGCTGTAGTTTTGTGTTCAATTGCTAGGTAGTTGTTAAGGTATTTTGAGGGGTTGCTAGGGTGCACATTTTCTAATGTGTTTTCTGATTTGTTGCTAAGATGCTCTGAGTGGTTACTAAGCAGTTGCAAAGAAACCACATATAGACAGAAAGACAGTCTTCTGTTCAATGTGATTACGACATTGCTAGGTGGTTGCTAAGGTGTTGTAAATAGTTGCTACGTGGTTGCTAAGGCGTTTTGCTTGGTTGCTAGGATATTGCCAGGGCAATGCTTAGAAAGAGAAGGCATGTAGAAAGACAAAGACAATCTTCTGTTCAATGTGATTGCTAAGTAGTTGCTAGGTAGTTGCTAAGCTTTTTTTAAGTAGTTGCCAGGTTGTTACTAAGTACCACATTTCTAAGTCACTTTGTGACTTTTATTCATAATGATTTTGATTGTTCACTGTGACTAAGGCAAAGATGTTTTGAGTGGTTGCTAGGATGTTGCTAGGGCAATGCTTAGAAAGAGAACACATATAAACGGACAAAGACAATCTTCTGTTCAGTGTGATTGCTAAATAGTTGCTAGGTGGTTGCTAATGGGTTTTAAGTAGTTGTTAGGTGGTTACAAAGTTACTGTATGTTCCTCATTTGTAAGTAACTTTGTGACTTAATTTTATTAAAAGTGATTATGACTGTGACGTGATGTTTTGAGTGGTTGCTAGGATGTTGCTAGGTTCTGGGATGTTGCTAGGGAGATGCTAGGCAGTTGCTAAGAAGTTTGTAGGCTGTTGCTAAGGTGTTGTAAATGGCTACTGAACAGTTGCTAGGCCATTGCTTTGAAAGGGAGCATATAGATAGACAGACAAAAACTATCTTCTGTTGCTAGGTGATTACTAAGTTATGTTCCTCAATTGTAAGTCACTTTTATCCATAGCAACTTGCAAATGTAAACACTATATACATTATATATACTAAATAATTTGAATAAATGTAAATGTAAAGTGGTTTTTGTAGGCTGTTGCAAAGGTGTTTCAAGTGGTTGCTAGGATGTTGCTAGGTCTAAAATTGGTGTTAGGGAGTTGCTATACAGGTGCTTGGCAGTTGCTAAAAAGTTCTAACTGGTTTATAGGCTGTTGCTAAGGTGTTTTGTGTGGTTGCTAGGTTCTGAGTTGTTGCTAGGGAGTTGCTAAGAAGTTCTAACTGGTATGTAAGCTGTTGCTAAGGTGTTTTAAATAGCTGCTAAAATGTTGTTTCTAGGGAGTTGCTAGGTGGTTACTAAAATTCTAACTGGTTTATAGGCTGTTGCTAAGGTGTTTTGAGTGGTTGCTAGGTTCTGAGTTGTTGCTAGGGAGTTGATAGGCAATTGCTAAGAAGTTCCAACTGGTTTGAAGGCTGTTGCTAAAGTGGTTACTAAGCAGTTGCTAGACCGTTGCTTAGAAATGAAGCATATAGACAGAAAGTGTAAAAGTGTTTACTAAATAATGTGAATAAACTGTGAGAAAACTGTGAAACAAACAGATTGCAGTTCCGTTCAGTGCCAGCAGTGGTTCAGAAATGACACACTTTTCTCCTTGAACACTGTTGAAATAAACTTTTAGGCATTGGGTGAAATTTAAAAGTGGTTAAATTGTTTAGTCGTTGTAGAGCAGGTAGTGTAGTGGTTAAAGATCAGTCAATTCCCATGTCACCATTGCGCTCCAGGGCAAGACATTCAACAGCCGGTTACTCCAGCAGGACCGTCCCTTGTGGTCCACCGACCGAAAGTCAGATCGGATAAAAAGTGTCTGCTACATGATGAATAAGGAGAGTCGGTCCCGTGGTTCCTACTGCCGTGTCCTTAGGCCTTTTTTTGTTTAATATGACAGTGTGGAACAATGCTGCTGCTTCTGGAACACCTACCAACCCAATTTCACGTATGACATTGTGCGCCACGGCGCCGGTATTCAATCACCCTCTCGTCTTTTGTCTTCACAGATGGTCTCATGAGTGAAGGCGAATTTCTGGAAATCACAGAAATCAAGCGGCATCAGGCGGAGGAATTTGAATGCATCACCAACAACGGCGTGGCGCCACCAGACACGCGCCGCGTCAAGGTCACAGTCAACTGTAAGTCGAGCCGCTCTGCTCCTGTCAGCAACTCACATTGACATCCTAATGAGATCAGTGGAAGTGTTTCAGAACACTCTGTGATTGAGTAATTGAAATAAAAATTGGATTGCGATCAGCTGCCTACAGAATTAAACTCTTTATCTTTCCATCATCTCCTCTCGACTCCACAGAGTTTAAAGAACTTGAGTAATTGTACTTCATTATTGTATTTAAGTATTCTGTTCTTGAGTACTGTAGAAACTTCATTACATTTTGACAACAAAAATCATTCAGTTTCAGGTAGACCTTCAAATATGTAAGTACATACAGTAGACTACCAAAGGTTTGGTGTCAATAAGATGTTTTTTTCAACAAGGACACATTTAATTGATCAAAAGTGACAGTAAAGAGATGTATAATGTTTCAAAATATTTATGTTTCAAATAAATTGTTCTTTTGAACTTTCTATTCAACAAAAAGGCCCACTTTTTTTCACGTTTTCCACAAAAATATAAAGGATATTAGAATGATTTCTGAAAGATCATGTGACACTGAAGACTGGAGTAATGATGCTGAAAATTCAGCTTTGATCACAGCAATAAATTACATTTTAACAGATATTCACATAGAAAACAGTTGTTTTAAATTGTAATAATATTTCACAATATTACTGTTTTTACTGTATTTTTGATCAAATAAATGCAGCCTTTGTAGACTCACTGACCCCAAACTTTTGAACATTAGTATATTTCATCATCATGACACAAATATTTATATCTATTACTATTTTTAAGTGTCAAACAACTACAAAATCTACTGAAAAGTATAATAATAATAATTCTAATAATAATGCATGGCCTCTTAGGACTCCTGTACCGTACTTTACAAAGTTTGTGTATGGCAGTTTAATGAAAAAAATATCCTCTGCATTTTAAGTTTTATCAGGCCATTTATAAAGAAGATTTTGAATTTGCTTTTTAATACTATACAATTATTGTAAGTACAATTAAATGCATACTTGAACGTAAAAATTTTGCATGTTTCTAGCATGATCACGTTTAAAGGAACAAGTAGTTAGTAAAAAATAACAGCTTCCAAGTTTGAAATGACATGATGCTGAGAATAATTTTTTTCTCATTTTCGAATGAATTATTGCTTTAATTGAACAACAGGTGCTAATATTAAAGGGGTCATATGATGCAATTGCAAATGTTCCTTTCTCTTCGGAGTGTTACAAGCTGTTCGTGCATAGATAAGATCCCTAAAGTTGCAAAGACTAAAGTCTCAAGTTTTTACTGTATTTTTGATCAAATAAATGCAGCCTTTGTAGACTCACTGACCCCAAACTTTTGAACATTAGTATATTTCATCATCATGACACAAATATATCCTCTTATAATGCAAATCATCTTAGTCTTATTCTTATTAATCTGTATTTTGTCTTGCTTTCCAGTAAAATATCTAAACATCCTTCAGAAAATAAATTCACTTGAGAAACAAAATTATGTAAGATAATAAAAGAATATATTCGAAATCAATTTTATTTTTTGACCCACTGATAATTTTTTTTCTTTTTAAGCCTAACACTTGTTAAATTTTATAGAAATTATTTATAATTCTTATAAATAAATATATATATATATATATATATATATATATATATAACATTTTATTTTATTATATTCTAT